GCCGTGTTTGCTTGCTCAGGACTGACATGCGTCACTTCTCAGGAACTGCTCTCCAAGGAGTCAGAGAAAGGCGCTTTAAGCAGGGCTGAGTGAAAAGCACAGCATTCAGAAAGGCAGGAGGTGGGCCTGACGTGCACCACAAGAAAAGATTTTCATATTAAAATTGCTTGGATAATGAAAAGGCAAAGAGCAGGCAAATTATAGAACATTCCATGATTTTAATATTGTTGGAAAAGCAGTCATACTCAGTGCTTTTCTTGATTCCTTCTTAGCTGTCTATCTGCAGGAATGATCTTCATATCAAAAGTTTTATAACCAGCATGTATCTTGGGAGTAGAGTGGATTTGTTGAGGACTTTAAAGCCTCTTTCACACCTGATCTTTAAGAACTTGCTGCATGAATTTGAGAGGAAGTGCTGCCAGGAACCAAGAGATACTAGGGAGGAGAGAGGAGCTCTGAGCAGAGAGCATGGTCCTGTGGGGAGGGAGAAAGCTTGGTGTGGACGAGATGCACAGCACAACCCCAGAGTACCTGAGATGGGTTAGACTTGTCCCGTGGCCCAGGGGATGTGTGATGCCTTATTGCATCTTGATTTAGAGGGATGTTTGTGTAAAGAATTCAGATCCTTGTGGTCGAGATAAAGAAATGTACTTTGACTAGTGACAGTGTTGAGCGGAGTGGTATTGTACTCTCCAGGAGAACATCCAGGTCCAAGCACGATTTTTGACCTACTTGTGCCCATGCACACAAACAGTAGATTAAGAAATGGAAACCATACTAATCCAGTTTTGAACATAGAAAATTAATAGGGATGTTGTATCCAGTACACGGCAAAGTCGTCAAAAATATCAAAACCTCCTGTCAGAGGCGCCCAGCCAGCTGCGTGGAACTCGGCAGGTGTGCCCATGGTGTTTTGCGCTGCGCTCAGTTGCAAAACCGTAGGGTGGAAAACACTGGGTCGTACAGCAATGTGGGGGAGAAAGTGTGGGCAGCAGTGTGATATTCTGACTGAAAAAATGCCATTGTAATTTATTTTTTAACTTTATTTCAAAGGCCAAAGGAGAAAACTCTTCCATCCACTGGTTCACTCAGTGCTCGAACTAGCCAGTGCTGTGGCGTGCTGTAGCTCCCTTCTGCTGTGCAAAGTGCACAGGGCAGGGAGCTGGGGTTGGCATGGAGATCGAGCGCAAATCCAGGCACTCAGTGTCATCTAGGCCGCTTACACAGAAATTATTAACAGACTGCTTAGAACTTTGCCACCTTACATCGTCTAGTCCACACCCGGATTACTGCAGAAGCCTTTCCCGAGAAATACACGGACAGAACAGAGGCTCTTCAGAGAGTGCTGGTTTGGTCTGTGAATTTCTCTTAATGTTTATTTATTGTGTTGTGATGTGCTATCAGGAACACGACCCAGCACTGCATATTCTCAAGGAGTTTGTGTTGCCGCGTTCCCACCAAAGCGCGTGCAAAAGGAACCCTTCAGTCAGATCGATTCCACTCACTTGGTTGGATTTGAGCAATCAGGCTTAACGTGATAGTGCTACTTGCACTGACAGTGTGTGTGTGGATTTCTGGAAGCTGCTGAACTTACTCAGCCATTGCTGTCAGCACTGTTCCTGAACCTTCTAAGCATTTCCCACTTTTATGGTGGAAATGAACAAAAGAGTGTTTGGAACCAGAAAAAGCTCTCAGTTTATTTAAAAATATAAGTACATAATTTAAAACTGATTGTTTCACAAAATGAAAATTTGTTTCCTATGTATAAAAGAAATCCCCTAGGGTAACTCTTCCCCCGGAGGCTTTAGTGATGGATCTAGACTACGGGATAGATTTGCAATGGGACAAGATGAATAATTTGTACATATAAATATGTAAGTGCACACACACACACATTCCTGTGGATGAATACAGGAATTGGAGCTTAACAAGTGGTACATTTTTCATAATCTAGTGAATTGTTTTTTATTGATAGTCTAAAAAGAGCAAGTGTCCATGTCAAATGAAGCCGCTTTGAAACACAGCTGTTACAGGGAGCGTACAGGTCAGTTCTTGCAGGCATTTTAATCTTTGGCTCTGAAATCTGCTGTTATAAGAATGTTGCTCTGAGATTCATCCATTTAAAAGTGACATTCTTGTTTTAGTTGGCCTGGCTTCTCATTAGAATTTATTACAAATTCTACACCACTAAAATAAGAGAAATAATGCAGAATAAGGATTTTCACCTCAATGCCATGAGCACTTCTTTGTAGCACTGCTTCTGTCGGCTGCTAGCAGTCAGTGGCTTCATCTCAAAAGGGGCAAACAAAAGATCCCAAGAAGCAAAAACACTTTTTCCAGGACAAGGGTTCAAGTTGTTGGTGGCAAACAAAACTTGGAACCAAAGGCAGCGCAGCGCAGTCAGTGTTGGCCAACAGTAAACGGCCCTATCCACTCGGGTTCTACCTCCCCGAGCTCTGCTTTTCTCCCCGCTTACCGCCCATCTCTGCTGCCCCCGCGTGGCCGCAAGTGAGAAATGCGCCCTGCTACTGAAAGAATCTTAATTCACTTTGTATTGCTATTACACTTCCAGAGCTGTTCACTTCTCACAACTCTGGAGGATGATAAATCCTATACCTGAGCATCTTCTTGTCGCATCATACCATGGTGGAAGGTGGAAGAGCAAAGGAACATACATGAATGAGGGGAGGGCAAATCCATTCATTCTGCCCCCAGGTATTAGTCACGTTAATTAGGCCCCATCTCCTGTACTGTTGCATTGGGTTCCAGTTGCTAATACACAGAGTGTGAGGTTACATTCAGAGCGTAACAGCACCCTGGCTGCAGCCACTTGGACTGCACACCATCCCTGCTCTGCAGGTGCATCTTTGCTTTGCCCTAGACCCTCCAGGTCTTTGATGCCCCGCCCCCGGATTCTTGTTATCTTCCACCTCAAGTCATTGCATCTCTTCTGCATGTGACTCCCAGCAGCCTCCTGCTCTTCAACTCTTGGCTACCTTCCATGTTGCTTTCTTTAAGTCTGTGGAAGGGCCAGCGCAATGGCTCAACAGGGTAACCCTCCACTTTCTAATGCCAATGTCCAAATGAGTACCAGTTTGATTCCCAGCTGCTCCAATTCCCATACAGCTCGCTGCCTGTGGCCTGGGAAAGCGGCAGAAGATAGCCCAAAGCCTTGGGACTCTGCGGTCACGAGAAACCCAGGAGAAGCTCTTGACTTCTGGCTTCAAATCAGCTAAGTTCCAGCCATTTGGAGAGTGAACCAGCAGATGCAAGATCTTTGTCTCCTTCTCTCTATAAATCTGACTTTCCAATAAAAATAAATAAATCTTTAAAAAAAAAAAAACAAATAAAAGGGGTCAGGGTGTTGGTGCTACAGGCTAATTCTCTACCCTGCTACGCCAGCATCCCAGATGGGCACCAGCGTCCCTACGGCTCCCTTCTGATCCCCACTGATGTCCTGGGAACGCAGCAGAAGATGTCCCAAGGCCTTAGAAATCAGCAAATCCCACGTCTGCTTCCATATTTTAATATTTTCACTAATTGTGGTGTAAAACAAAATTACTATAAAACAGAATTTCCAGCCACTTCTGCTGATTTGTGCCCAGTGGGTAAGAGTCAGAGGCAGAAAGTTTACCTGGGTCTGTATCCAGGTTCATTTGCTCTGGGAGATTTAATCATCTGCTTGTCTCCAGTGAGACGCGCTTTGCTCTGCCTGTGGCCCTGTGAGATCCGCACTGCCCCAGCAGCAGGGCTGTGGATTTGTTACTCTGATGCTTGTCTCCAGTGAGACGCGCTTTGCTCTGCCTGTGGGCCTGTGAGATCCGCACTGCCCCAGCAGCAGGGCTGTGGATTTGTTACTCTGATGCTTGTCTCCAGTGAGACGCGCTTTGCTCTGCCTGTGGGCCTGTGAGATCCGCACTGCCCCAGCAGCAGGGCTGTGGATTTGTTACTCTGATGCTTGTCTCCAGTGAGACGCGCTTTGCTCTGCCTGTGGGCCTGTGAGATCCGCACTGCCCCAGCAGCAGGGCTGTGGATTTGTTACTCTGAAGGAACATTTGGTCATCTCCACTTTGGGTTACACATACAAGCTCTCTGAAAATCACGCTGCTGTGGAACCCCTGAGGCTTACCTGCTTCTGTATGTCTTTGACAGGCCCTGTTTTGGTTTCTTCCCGTTAGGAAAATGCTTCTGTTGGAGAACTAAAGATCTAAAGATTGTTCCTATTTCCAAAAAAAAAAAGAAAAGAAAAGATTTATTTTTATTTTAAAGGGTGGTTCTCTCCCCAAATGCCAGCAAGGCTGGAGCTGAGCTCATCAGAAGCCTGGAGCCTCCTCCAGCTCTCCCCCATGGTGCAGGGGCCCAAAGACTTGAACCATCCTCCTCTGCTTTCTTGGGCCAAAAGCAGGGAGCTGGATTGAACGTGAAGCGGCCAGAACATGAACCGGCATCCCCATGTCGGCGGTAGCTTAGCATACTACGCCATGGTGCCAGCCATTAAAGATCCTTCTTCAACCAATCTAATAGTGTTAAAGAATGTTAGAATTGTTCACGTTTATTCAACAGTAAGCTCTTTAGTAACCACTGTATGTCTTGAGTCAACTTCTTAATTTTTATGAATATTTAGTAAAACAGGACAGCTGTCAAACGCAAGAATAGAGGGCTTTAATCTCAGCTTTCAAAAAGGGAAATAAGCTAAGATCTAAATCATGAAAAAAATCATCTTCCAGGCCTATGAATAATATCTCAGGTTTTCTCAGCATAAATTAGTTCTTTTTACTCAAGTGTTGTTTATGAAGTAGCTTTATTTAAGAGTAACCTGATTCATAATAGCTTCTCTTTTTTCTTCTATTTCTGTTAAAATATAAAAGACTATCTTTTATTCACATATGTTGATTAGGTCAATAATATGTAATCCAGTAAGAAAATGCTCTCTCAGTAAGTTTGGACCAAGGCATTGTACATGACGTCTAAGTAAATATGATGAAACTTTCCTTTTGCAGATGCAAATACTGGCATTATGACGAAAACCTGCTCACTTCAAGTGTTGTCATTGTCTTCCATAACGAAGGCTGGTCAACGCTCATGAGAACGGTCCACAGTGTAATTAAAAGGACGCCGAGGAAATATTTAGCAGAAATTGTATTAATTGATGACTTCAGTAATAAAGGTAATGACTATAGAATTCTAAAAAATGTGATTTCAAAATAGTTCTCTGAAAGCAAGCATCTTTTGATAGCAATTATGATCAGCAGGTTGGCAGTGTGGCAAGCATCATATATAAATGATTCTGTTTGATCTCGACAGTGCTCCTTAGAATACACGGTACTGTTACCTCCATTTTACAACTCGGGTTTGGAGACAGTAAGGAGCCAGCCAACAGTCCCAGAGGTGCTGTCAACAGCTGGATCCAGGTGTTTTGGTTGCATATGTCTGTGACTTTAGCTACTGTCTCCCACTGTATTCATTCTTTGGGCTTGAGTCTAGTAAAAACTTTAGTCACAGCAAGAAGCAAGTTGGTTTGAAATACTAAAAACCTGTAGATGCGTATAGTTTTTGATGGCCTCTGAACTCCAATCCAGACTCTTCAAACTGAAATCGTATCCCTATCTCATAGTCTGTACTTTACATATGAAGAACGATGCAACTACTCCATTGGATAGGAAGCCGTCAACTATTGCTATTTACGATGGAAAACGTCTTCTGAAGTTTATTTTTGTTTGTATTTTACTGAGGATTTTGAATAAAACAAAGCTACATTTTTAAATCGTTCTAAGGAGCCATCTCTTAGAACATTTAGACAGGCATTATTTAGTCTTCATTCAGCTTGCCACAGAGTGGCTAAGCAGTGATGTTTCTAAGATTAGAGGGTTTATGCGGCCAGCACAGTGGCATAGCAGACTGGTCATGCACCTGTGGAGCCACCTGTAACTGCCCCACTTCCCACCCAGCTCCCTGTTCCCCTGCTCATGGCCTGAGAAAGCAGCGGGGGATGGCCCAAAGCCATGTGCCCACGTGGAAGGCCAGCCTGAGTGCCAGCTTCAGGTAGTCCCAGCACCTGCTGTGAAGGCCATGTGGGGAGTGGAGGATCTTTCTAAGCCTCTTCCTGTCTGACTTTCAAATAAAATGAATACATTTTTACTAAAAAAAAGGGGGTGAGGGTGGCATTTAGGTTGGAAAGTTAACTTATTTTTTTTCCTTTAGATACTATCGACGTATTATGTCTTCTTAATGAAATAAATATGAATACCTAATATCCTAGCTCACTTCCTAAGTACATCAGATTCAAACATAATAACTGTTGGTGCTGGAACTCAGATCTGGATATTTGTTTATCCTTCTTGACTTCTCTCAAAGCCGGCCTGATACTCTCACTTCTTAGGAAAAAGAACTAATTGGATATCTATTAGTTTATAATGTTTATTTAACTGTTTTTATCCGTAGAACATTTGAAAGAAAAACTAGATGACTATATTAAGATGTGGAATGGCCTCGTAAAGGTATTTCGGAATGAAAGAAGAGAAGGTTTAATTCAAGCCAGAAGTATCGGTGCTCAGAAAGCTAAACTTGGTCAGGTAAGAGCATCTGATATCTACCATATCAACAACATTTTAGATTTGGCAGCTGTAAGATCATATGCATTTTTAACCACCCTTCAGCTTCTGTTTGTAATTTAAATGAGAATGCTGAGTTGAACAAATAAGCTATTTATCAAAATAGAGTATAATGCTAATTTTAAAATTAGCATCTACTTTTAAATTGATATAATATGATGTGCCATATATAAGTATTCTTTCACCTGCCTCTTTTTTTTAAGGTTTTGATATACCTTGATGCCCACTGTGAGGTGGCAGTTAACTGGTATGCGCCACTTGTAGCTCCCATATCTAAAGACAGGTAACATTACCTTGCTTTTTTTTTTTTCTTTTTCCTTCCTGGTTGAAAAATAAACCTTGTCCTAGAAGGACAAATAGTAATCTCATTCTTTAATTCCATTTAGTGCATCAAGTATTGTGTTTGAAGTGCATCTCTGAGTTGGCTGTTAGCCTCAGGCTTGGGCTGGTTGGCTTGTAGGCAGTCTGCCGTTTCAGAAACCCAGAGTGTCCCATTTGACTGAGTCACTGAGACTCCCTCCACGTGCAAGCATTGTCTCCTAAAGCCAATATTCATTGCTTCTTCTAAAATGGGGTGAGGTCCAAGCACTCGAAGAAGCATGCTTAGAAATGACCCCGTTAGTCTTTTGATTTCGTTGTTGTTTTGTCATGTTAAAGTATTAGTTTAGATAGTGAGGAGCAGCTGTTACATGTGTCAGACTTTGGGTTCTATAGAAACTTAAGTTTTCAAGTAGACAGATACTCTGTACAGCTGTGACTAGAAATCTGCTGATCACTGTTAAATTTCCAGAATTTTCTGCAACAACAGAAGGCAGCATCAGTCTGTCAGCTCCAAAACTCATCCTTGCTTCAAGTCTTGCATTCCAGAATCTAGGAACATGGGACGTGTCACAGTGGTAAATGGTGTGAGTCAGGGAAGAGCTCTGGAATATGCAGTCACCTGATGATCTAATAAGAAGGCCTGCCGTCACACTTTGCACATAGTGTCGGACTTCAGCCTCGTAGCAACCCTGTGACGCAGAGGTTATTAGATCTGTCTTACTGAAAAAGATACTGAGGTTCGAAGAAGTTAAGGAATTTGCCCAAATCAGAGAGCTAATAAACGAAGTCCTCTCTGGGGCACCTCACACTACACTGCTGATTTAGAAGTGTGACAATTCTGAGGAGTAAGGAGATAATTAACCTGGTACCCGCAGTCAGGAACACCAGCAGTTCTCCATGCAGTAAGCTAGTGGAAACCTCAAGCACCCCACAGCGCCCTCCACTGGCCATTCACCCCCTGCAGGGCATGAAGCACCTTGCTCCAATTTCTGAGTCACCTGGGGTCCTTTCCCCCTCTGCCGCCCCTGCCTTTCTCCTAAACATCTGGGTTTCCAACCATCTAAAAAAAACATATAACCCACTTATGAAAAGTTGTCATCTTCACTTCAGAAGAAACATGTTCAAAATCCTTCTTGGTGAGACAGTATTGGTGAATAACGCCAGGTCTTGATTCAGTCACATATTGCATGAGGGCCACACACAAGGGATTGTTTCTTTCTTTGAGTTCTGAGATCATTTCTTAAGATACTGAACAGGTTTTGAGGGATTTTTGATCTTGCTTATTTCTGTTTTTCAAGAAAGCAACCAGATAGTGTGTGGTATCTTTTATTTTGAGAATAAAAGAAGTAGCGAGGATCAGCTACAGAAACACCATTTCATATTAGTTACTTCTACGGGAACAGAAAACAGCCACGCCGGGAGAACTGAGACTCTGAGAAGTGCCGTCGGTACAGACACGTGGGAGATACAAAGGGGCAGTCGCAGGCAGGGGGTTCCTGTAAGCCAAGAGTCAAGTTCCCTGGAGAACTAAGATGAAAAGGAGTGGCCGCTACTAAGCTCAGAGGAATGCCTCTTTGTCCCTCACATCTGGCTGTTGCCCGTCTGCGGCCATACCGCCCTGAACGCGCCCGATCTCGTCTGATCTCAGAAGCTAAGCAGGGTCGGGCCTGGTTAGTACGCGGATGGGAGATCTGTCTTTTGCCTAGAGGAAATTCTCCTCTCTTCTGTCCTCGCAAGGGTGACTCCCTGGCTTCTGTGGGACATTCCTCTATTCTATTTTCCATTAGATTATTAAGGTCCCTTAGTCCAAGAACAAATCAAGAACAGAAACGTGTGCTGTAGTTAGGCATGCTAAACTGTGCTTTTTTTCATTTTCTGTAAATGTTTCAGAACTGCATGTACTGTGCCTCTAATAGATTACATAGATGGGAATGATTATTCCATTGAACCCCAGCAAGGTGGGGATGAAGACGGTTTTGCCAGAGGGGCCTGGGACTGGAGTTTACTGTGGAAACGTATCCCTCTAAGCCACAAGGAAAAGGCCAAAAGGAAACATAGAACTGAGCCTTATCGGTAATGATTGTTACTCATTGTTTGTGCTGACTGTTTATCTAAGGACTTTTTCTTTTCCTTCCCCATGAACTCGTGTAACTATGTGGGCCCAATCACATGCTCCCATGTGACCTTTGCTGCCATCATCAACACAATGCAGAACCATTTGCACAGTGCCACTTATAGATGTCATTAATGGCAACACATATGAAATTGTACCCCAAGGGGGTGGTGATGAAGATGGGTACGCCCGAGGAGCATGGGACTGGAGTATGCTCTGGAAACGGGTGCCTCTGACCTCTCGAGAGAAGAGAATGAGAAAGACAAAAACTGAACCGTATCGGTAATCACTAAATCACTCACGAGCCTTCCTTTCCTCCGGATACGCTAACCTATTAACCTCTTGCCAAACTAAAATGTTGTTATTAAGACTGCAGATGCTACCTCTGTCTCTGAAAGAGCTTCTCTCTCTACCCTTTTTCAGAGCTTTTAATATACACTTGCTACTTTTTAATAGCTTTGCCCTCAATGCAAGCTCTCCCGTTGAGAATTGTACTTTTTCAGTGGGGAAAAAAGTAATAATAACATACAAGACACTAGTTCCAAGCACAAGTGAAAAACGGAGAACCTCTGTGGTCTCCTGACCGATGAGACGTCAAATTGTGTTGTTTTCATTCTAGTGTCCTTCCATAAATTTAAAATACATAAAGTACACATAATCCAAGGTTATTATTTCCATTTTGTTGCCTTGGGTGTAATGTCAACAATAAGACACTAGCAAGAGATTTTTGGGTTCTTCCCGCACCTTTTATTTTATATGCTAACTCCTAATGCTAGTTTTGCCCCTGTTTAGTGAGTAAATGAGTTTAGAAAGTGTTGCAAAGTGTCCTTTCTTGCTTCGCTCTGAGAAGATGCTCCGTGCCCCAGTTGTCCCTTCTCAGAGTTTTATTACGTAGGGCAATGTGTGTACCTCCCTTCTGCTAGTCCCGTGGTGGGAACATTGCGCTCCTTCACAAGGATGCCCCCGAAGGAAGTGTGTGTGCACACGGCAGTGTGGTCCTCCCTGCATGTGCTGCCTTAGCGTCTCCGATCTTCTGGGTCCGCCGTTGCTCTCTCTCTCCCTGCTGCACTGCCGGTCTTGTTCGAACTCTGATGAGAAGGTGTTTCCCATGTCACGGAAATGCTGGTGCGGTTTGGGCACGTCTCGACATCAAGCTACTGAATGGCAAACATGAAAAAATTATAGAACTTAGGGCCTTACTGGACATATTTCAAATTTTCAATTGAAAATTTCCTATTCTAAACATTCAGGAATCTATGACTTACCTGATTAAATTCACCTCTATCGATTCTAGAAGCAGCGTTAAAAGGGTGCTGAGTGTAGTTATATTGCTACTAATTCCAGGATCTACGAGGGAAGACTCTTTTAATGAGCTAGAAGGATTTAGGGAAAGCTGCCCTTTGATTAACGCACACATTTCCATGTTAAGATGCATTTCAAATAGATACTAAGAAAACACTTTTTAAAAATGAAAAAGGCACAATTGTAGTGCAATAGCTGTGAATGATAGTGGCATGCAAATATAGCCCAAAATGTAACAATGCTCTTTGGTGAGTTAGGCAGCTTATGTTAAGAAATTACTTTCTCCTGCTGTGTAAATATGACGTGACTCGATATTTCTTTATGCAACAAATACTTGCCAAGTAGTTACTATGTGCCAGGCACTATTAGAGCAGGATCCATGTAGAAAATATGTTCTCTCCTGGAACTTAGAGTGAGAGAGAAAGGGAACATATAACTAGACGATCAGCTCTGCCACAACAGCTGTAGCAAGTACTGAGAGGCAGCTGTGCAGAGCACAGGGCCGGGGGGCCGAATGCAGCTGGGAAGGCCAGGAGAGGCCTGGAGCATGAAGTCAGCCCTGCGGGGAAGGACCAAGAACACTCGGGGATACGAACAGTATAAGAGAAGGCCCTCAGACAGAGGTGAGCCTGGCCCGTCCCAGGCAAGTGCCAGGTAGGTAAAGGAGAAGCAAGGACAGCTGAGGCCAGGGTTAGGCGAGGCGGCGCCGGCAGGCCCCTGGCTCGGAATCGGCTGTGGCTGCTGTGCCATTCGACCTGGGCCCCAAGGAAGCAAGTTGTAGGCGAGAGTGTTGGCTCGGTCTCGGGTACTAGCAGTACCATCAGAAAGAAGCAAATTCAGAATCTGGTTTCCGGGTGCAGACAGCAGGCCCCAGGGGCAGGTGAATACTAGCTGGAAGGGTGAAGATGCCCAACAGCAGGAAGTGCCCTAAAACCTGGGAAACAGGACGCAGTCATCGCTGGGTTCCCCTGTGCAGGCATGGCGGACACCTGCCTCTTTTCTCAGTCTCTCCCGTGAGAAGTACCCAACTGAAGATGCCTCCAGGAAGCCCCGCTGATCGCCCTTTTCATTCCTGCAGTAAATAGCGGTGCCTAATTCCATGTCATTTCTCTGCCGCGTTTGCAAATTCTGAATGAACTGTGGCTGTTCTGTGATGATGTACGCTCTTATTTGGCAAACCCCTGAGCTATAAAATTAAAAAATGACAGACTACTTCCACGGTGTATAGTTTTGTTCATCCTAGAGTGACTCATCAATCATTACAGGAGCAGTCAGCAGACCGTGGCTGTTGGGCTCAGTGTCTTCAGGAGTGAGTGAAAATTTTTCATGGAAGACCAAGGCTTGATTTTCAGCAACAAAAGAGCTTAGGCGCCCTCTAGTGGCAACAAGACAGAACGCCCCAATTGGAGTCCTTGCTTTCACTTAAATATTGAGGTGAATTCACCGTGAAGAGTTTGTGACGGCTCTATAATTTCTTGGTGTTTGGCCATCAGTTTTGTCTCCTCTGTGCATTGTTTAGGCTGTATTGCAAAGGTTGGCTGTCTGTTGGTGAAGGGGGCGTGGGTGGGGCTGGTTCTCTGTGCTGGGTTTTGCAGTGTTTCTTTCCCTTAGGTCTCCAGCCATGGCTGGTGGATTATTTGCCATCGAGCGAGACTTCTTCTTTGAACTGGGTCTGTATGACCCAGGTCTCCAGATTTGGGGAGGTGAAAACTTCGAGATCTCCTACAAGGTAACATTTCATTTAAACAAGTGCAGTTTTCTACGTAGTAACTGAATTTTGTGAGTTTCTGGTGCAGCTAGTTTATTTTTTCAACAGTAAACCAGTACCTATGCAGTTATTTCTCCTAATTATAAGAAGTGAAATATATGTGTCTCGGGGGGGTGGGAGGGAGGATAAAATGCAAGCCCCAAACTTACCATGAATTTACACAACTCAGCTCAAAAATGATGACCCAGGAAACTTGAGGAATAAAACACGCTAGAGCCTTTTACTATAAATCCCTTTGAAAATCTGTGTGAGGCAAGACGCTTGATCATCCGTTGGCCCTGGAGGACCAGGGATTTCCTGCAGAAGCAGATGCCCAGCAGAGAGGGAGGCGGCAGAGGGGTCGGACACGGCAGGTGACGCTGTGGCACAGCGCCATCTCCCAAGGGAGCCAAAGAGGTAAAATCACAACCCCCGGTCTTAACTGCCCTGTGGTTAGGACTCGGCACTAGAGCAGTAAACCCAGTCTTCAGTCTCCAGGAACTCACAGTTAATAAGAGACTAGAATCCCACTTGAGTTCATAATATAGTGATAAGATAAACTGCATCCATTTTGTAAAAGCGTGCCGCTCCAGGTAGAAGTTGAGGCGGAACTAGGAAGACAGTCTGCAAGGACACGCGGTGTGGAGGGGAACGGGAGCGGGCGGGATGGGGAGCAGAGTTCAGGAGCTCGTGCAAAGCACAGGTTGCAAGAACCAGGCAGCACGCGTTAGGAAGATACCTAAGGAGAAAAGAGAAGTTAGTTAACACTAGGGTCATGTTAAAGAAAGCCTTTCATGTTCATGTACACGATTTTTACCTCATTTTAAAAAGTGGAGAGCCAACAAAAAGTTTCAGCGAGGGAATGACATGACCCAATGTTGCCCTTCAGCCACGGTCATCTCCTATCAATACGGACAGAACAGAGGGCGGCTGAAGGTGAAGCAGCCGGGGAGGGGATCACAGTGAAGCAGTGGGAGCGATGGAGGACGTCCGCGAGGAGGAGCCTGCTTGGCCGTGCAAGGTTGCGGGAGGAATGGGCCGAAGCGCTGAGTGCCTGCAGTCCCGTCGCTCCCTGCCGCCTCCTCTGCCACTGCAGGAACTGCTCGGGCAGCAGGTGGTGTCAGGGACTTACTTCATCTAGGAGTTCCACATTACAGTGCGTCTCATTTAGACTTTAGCTTTGCATTTACAAGACATGGTATTTTCTAATTTGTTTATATATTTACAAACAAAACTTTCAAAACTTTGTTTTTTGACAGATATGGCAGTGTGGTGGCAAACTGCTGTTTGTTCCTTGTTCCCGCGTGGGACACATCTACCGTCTCGAAGGCTGGCAAGGAAACCCCCCACCTGTTTCCGTAGGGTCTTCTCCAACTCTCAAGGTGAGACGTGTTTGACCGCCAGGGAAGGCTGGCACACTGACAGTGATGGGCCACACGCCACGGTAGTCACTCCCCAAACGGCAGCTCGCTGCGTGGGAGAAATGAAGGCATCAGGCGTGGCGCGCCCTTAACAGGCTGCAGGGACGCAGGAAACGCCCAGCCAGTTCCTTTGCCCTCCTGTTTTTAATTCACAAGTAAAAGCCACGTGTGTTTGTGGCGTGCACCAAGATGCTTTGAGATGTGACTGTGTTGTAGGATAACTAAATCAAACAGCTCAACATATGCATTGTATCATATATTTAACCGCTTTTTTGTGCTGAGAATACTTAAAATCCACTCATCAATTTTCATGTAAACAGTACATTTTTATTAACTATAGTTATAATGTACAACAGATGCCTTGAATTTATTCCTTCCCATCTAACTGAAATTTGGAGTCCTTTACCCAGTATCTCCCCAACGTCCCAGTACCCTCGCCACTGGTAACCACTGTTCTACTTCCTGGTTCCATGAGCTTGCCTTCCTGTGCCTGGCTTATTGCATTTCCTATGGCATCCTCCGGTGTTCCTTCAGTTGTTATTTTTTTGATATGTTTATTTTACTTGAAAGTAAAAAATCAGAGTTAGAGAGGGAGTGTGAGGGAAAGACATACAGAGAGAGAGAGAGATCTTCTATCTGCTGGTTCATTCCCCAAGTGACCACAACAGCCGTATCTGGGCCAGTCCACAACTGGGAGCCAGGAGCTTCTTCTGGATCTCCCACATGGCCACAGGAGTCCAACCCCTTGGACCATCTTCTGCTTTCCCAGGCCATTAGCAAGGAGCTGGATCAGAAGTGGAGCAGCGGGACTGAAACTAGTGTCTGTATGTGATGCTGGCACTGCACACAGAGCATTAGCTCGCTAAGCCACCACACTGGCCCCAGTGTTTCTTAGTTTTGATGATTGTATTCTGTTTTGTATATTTGCATGCACATGTGTGTAAGTGTGTATTTCTTAATTTACACACTTTTTTTGTTTTGTTTTGTTTTAAAGATTTATTTTTATTATTCTTTCATTGGAAAGGCGGATATACAGAGAGGAGAGACAGAGAGGAAGATCTTCCGTCCGATGATTCACTCCCCAAGTGAGCGCAACGGGCCGATACTATGCCGATCCAAAGCCAGGAGCCTCTTCTGGGTCTCCCACGCGGGTGCAGGTTCCCAAAGCTTTGGGCTGTCCTCGACTGCTTTCCCGGGCCACAGGCAGGGAGCTGGAAGGGAAGCGGGGCTGCCGGGATTAGAACCGGCGCCCATATGGGATCCCGGGCGTGCAAGGCGAGGACCTTTAACCACTTGCGCCACCGCGCCGGGCCCAATTTACACACTTCTTAACTGGATTGTTTTGTTTTAAATTGAAAATGTATTGTGGTTTTTGGGTTCTGTACATCTCCGAGTATTAATTTTTAATTTTTTTAGGAATCCCCATATGGTTTTCCATATGGCCACACCATTGCTACCAACAGTGGTCAAGGATTCCAATTTCTTCACATCTTTTGTTGTTTTGATAATAGCCATTCTAACAGGTGTGAAGTAGTATATTACTGTAGTTTTAATTTGTATGTCTTTGATAATTAGTTATATAAAATTACTTCTCTGAGGGTTCGGTACTGCAGCCTAGTAGCTAAAGTCCTTGCCTTGCATGCAACAGGATCCCATATCGGCGCTGGTTTGTGACCTGGCTGCCCCACTTCTCATCCAGCTCCCTGCGTGTGGCCTGGGAAAGCAGTGGAGGAAGGCCCAGGGTCTTGGGACCCTGCACCCGTGTAGGAGACCCAGAAGAGGCTCCTGGCTCCTGGCTTTGGATCGGTTCAGCTCCAGCCACTTGGGGAATGAATTACTGGATGGAAGATCTTCTCTCTGTATATCTGACTTTCCAATAAAAATAAATTAATTTTAAAAATATATATTTATCTGAGAAAGAGAGTGAGAAAGCTGCCTCCAAGGAGCTGGCTCAGTAGGATGTGCAGTCGGGAGGTGAGACCAGGCGCGAGCCAGCGTGGGGTCTGGGAGTCTGAAGCACCGGCTGAATGCCTGCTGCTGCACGCTAGCACCTTTCATCCAATCGGGGTCACTTTGTTCCTATCTGGTACGAACACAGGATTTCATTTACTACTGGAGTATATTATCACCCAGTTCCTACACACCATTTCCCAAGGACACTGCTTGGTTGATTGTTTCTGGATCTTTTAGATCCGTTCTTCCTTCAGTCGTTTCCTCGTTACTCACTAACTCCGGGCCCTGGGGGCTGTGCTTCACTCCTGCATCTCAGTGCCTCCTTCGGTACTTGGTCAGCCCTCCGCGTCTCTCCCCACATCTGCTGCAACTCCTTCAGTATGGCCTCCGCTCCCGAACCATGCTGTCCTCCTGAAAATTAAAACTGATGAAATTTACATACCTAAAACTTTACAGTTCAAGCTCCAACTTTTCCACTTCTCGTTCAGCTCTCTGCTAATGTGCCTGGAAATGCAAAGGAGCGCTGGGGTCCATGCCACCCACATGGGAGCCCCAGATGAAGCTTTAGATGCCCGGTTGCAGCCAGGGGGTGGACCAGCACATGGGCAATATCTTTAACTCTGCCTTTTAAATATTTTCTTTGAAAGCCACTGTTAAAAATTGAGTGTTAAATAAACAAATAAATTCTGCTGTTTTCAATGGTAGCTTTGTAATTGAGACTTTTTCTCCATACGTTCCAGAGGTGTGGATCAAATAGAGATTGCTAAGCCTCTGCCTGCAATAACCACCATCCCATAAGGGCACCAGTTCAAGTTCCAGCTACTTCACTTCCATTCTAGCTCCCTACTAACACACCTTGGAAAGCAGCAGAAGATGGCCCAAGCCCTTGGGTCCCTGCACCCACATGGGAGACCTGGAAGAAGTTCCTGGCTTCCACCCAGCCCAGCTCCAGCCACTGCGGCCACTTGCAGGTGACCCAGCAGATCAGTATTCTCAGGCTCCTGAGGCAGAACACGACTCAGCGCTAAGAACCTCTTCCCTCTAGAACTCTGTCTTTCAGATAAAATTTTTTAACTCTTTACTAAGAAAAGAACAATTGTTCTGGGAATAGAAGTACCAGTGTCCAATTATAAACTCTCTCTGAGCTTCAATATCCTTGTCTCCTTTTGCTTTGTTTTGCATTTAAGATTTTATTTTATTTTTATTGGAAAGGCAGATATACAGAGAGAAGGAGATACAGAGAGAAATATCTTCATGCACTAGTTCACTCCCCAAGTGGCTGCAATAGCTGGAGCTGAACTGATCCAAAACCATGAGCCAGGAGTTGCTTCCCAGTCTCCCAAATGAGAGCAGGGTCCCAAGGCCTTGGGCCGTCCTGCACTGCTTTCCCAGGCCACAAGCAGGGAGCTGGATGGGAAGTGGAACAGCTGGGACATGAACCAATGCCCATATGGGCTCCCAGCACATGCAAGGTGAGGATTTAGCCACTGAGCCATCACACTGGGCCCTATATCCTTGTCTTTCAAGTGAATACATTATCTTTGAATATATGGCCTTCTGGCTTAGAGATTACAGGTTCTGTGTGCAGTACTTTTTTTTTTAAGATTCATTTTTATTATTTTTTCATTGGAAAGGCAGATATACAGAGAGGAGAGACAGAGAGGAAGATCTTCCGTCCAATGATTCACTCCCCAAGTGAGCGCAACGGCCGATACTATGCCGATCCAAAGCCAGGAGCCTCTTCTGGGTCTCCCACGCGGATGCAGAGTCCCAAAGCTTTGGGCCGTCCTCGACTGCTTTCCCAGGCCACAGGCAGGGAGCTGGAAGGGAAGCAAGGCTGCCGGGATTAGAACCGGCATCCATATGGGATCCCGGGCGTGCAAGGCGAGGACTTTAACCACTTGCGCCACCGCGCCAGGCCCTGTGTGCAGTACTTTTTAGTTGAATATAAATAGCATTTTTATCCTTGGCAAATGGCAGAATCATGAGCTAACTTGCAGTTGTTTCGTTAAATGCCAAGTCCTATTAAAGTAAGTGTGTTACATGTTGGTCACATTGGTCAAGACAGGTTGTTTGTGACATTATAGTTAGTTTTCTCTTTCATAGTAGTATTTTCTCTTTTGCAGAACTATGTTAGAGTTGTAGAAGTTTGGTGGGATGAGTATAAAGATTATTTCTACGCTAGTCGTCCTGAGTCAAAGGCACTCCCGTACGGAGATATATCTGAGCTGAAGAAGTTCCGAGAAGACCACAACTGCAAAAGCTTCAAGTGGTTCATGGAGGAGATAGCTTACGACATCACCTTGCACTACCCCTTGCCGCCCAAAAACATTGAGTGGGGAGAGGTGAGTACCAGCCACAGCTGGACCTCAAAGTGTTTGCATTTAGAATCTGCGTTGGGGGAGAAATGAGTGTGAGGCAGACGGAGGAGAGTCCTTGGGATAAGATTGCCTGAAAAGCGTCCGCTGCCATCTGCTTTGACTCCGTTAGACAACTCCAGGAGCCTGGGTGCCAGCCGTGGGCACAGGCTGCTGCAGCTCCCTTCCTGGGCCAATGCCAACTTAACCCACTGCTCCCACCTCCGATGTCCCCTTTCTAAGAAGCCTTTCTCCTTCCCCACTCCATCAGAGAGACACCCCGGTGACCATGCCATTATCACAGCACCCCAACTTACCCATCTGCCGCTCAGTCTAGATACGTCAGAACCTGAAGCTGCACTGATGGGCGCGGTGAATTAATGCAAGGACCGCATTCATAAAAGGCCCTCAGTGTTTTTGAAATAAGTTAATATGAAGTAAAAGCAATCTGCACTACTTAGCTTTATAACCTCATCTGTGACAGCACTCTGTGGCTCTCACCAGCACCTGCCAGGCGTCCTGAGCACGCCCAGAACTTCCCAGTCTGTGCGCACTCGTTTCATGATGCATTCAGAAAATATTGATCGAGGGCCTACAGGTGCCAGTCATCCTTCAAAACAAAAGACACGACAGAGTTGTCCATTTCCTCACATTCAGTGAGAATGCAAAACAGACCAGAATAGCAGATACCGACCAGTGTTAAGATCTACAGAGGAAATGAACAGTCGCTGCCACAGGAGAACTTAGGGACGGGAATGGGAGACCAGGGTAAGCAGGTGACAGTTCATTGGAGATGTGGATAATGGCCAGGCAATCAAGGTCTTACAAGTAAAGAAAAGGGTAGGTCACAAAGCTGTGGCTCGGGAAGCACTTTGCACATTTGAAGAGCAAGAAAGCAGAAACTAAATGAGGGCGGTGGGAAGTGGAGGGGAGTTTTTAAACGTAAAAGCAGTAAGATATGATTTGCACTTTTTGTTTTCAGTCATCCTGCTATGAATATTTAGAGTAGAAATAAGAATGCCAATTAGGAAATGAGCAGGGCACATTCAGTGAGAAGTGTTGTGGCCTTGGGCGGGGAAGGGCAGTGTGCAGATAGAGAAGCCGACAAAGTTCATCTAATTCCTCCGGAGCTGGTCACTGGCCAGCGGCACAGGAGGGACAAGGGCCAGCTTGACATCTGGTTTTCGTTTTTTATCTGAGTGGCGCGTCAGCTGAGATCGGGGAGGTGTCGAAGTGGGGACTGGGGAGCAGCGAGTTTGTTATTGGTGTTCTGCACACGTAAAATACCTACTGCGCGTGCAAGTGGAGCTGTCAAGCCCTGTTTCTTAAAGGTTGCAGTAGAGCTGCCTGTTACGAACGCGGTCCTTGGCGACAGTGAAGCCAGAAAGAAGGCCGCTGGGGCAGTGCGTCTGGGGCAGCAGCACGCGCGCTGGTTGCTGGGATTGGGCGGCATCACCAAAGGGCTCAGTGCAAGGCACGAGACCCTCCCTGAGAACCCCAATGTTTACAGTTTGGAAACAAAAGAAATCAACCGAAAATACTTAATTCTCCTCTCTCTGTACATCTTATTTTAAGTACTTTTCTCCTGGTTTTTTTTTGCCTCACTACAGTAAGTTGTGTTTAACTCCCAACTAGACCATAAGCTCCTGTGAGTCCAGAACTACAATTTGGTTACTTCTTACGCCCAGAACACCTCATCAGTAGAATGCCTTCCATAAAAAAAAAAAAAAAGAAAGAAAGAAAAGAAAATCCTGGCTAATTGCCGGTCTTGTGGCTTCAGAATCATCTTGCTGCTGCTGACTCTGTTTTTTGATTCTGTGTCCTCCCTCTCCCCCCCCGCCACCACCCGTTTTTTATGTTTTTAGATCAGAGGCTTTGAAACTGCATACTGCATCGACAGCATGGGAAAGACGAACGGGGGCTTCGTTGAACTGGGACCCTGCCACAGGATGGGAGGGAATCAGGTAAGCCACCCTGCTTTGTGTTTGACTCGGTCTGCTGAGAGCGCTGCTGGAGTTCAGTCTGGTTTTTAATTTTTCTTTTTATTATTTCTTTATATGAGAAACAGACATAGATAGGCAGGCGGTTCCCATTTTGCTGGTTGCCTCCCCAGACGCCTGCAGTCCCTGGGACTGCCAGCCAGCAGCCGGGAGCTCAGGGCAGGCCCCCCAGGGGGGCGGCACTCACCTGCTTCAGAGATGCCCGGTGGGACAGCTTCCCACAGGAGCAGAGTGAAGACCTGAACCCACGCGCCCTGCGGGGACCCAGGCTGCCGCACCGGACGACAATGCCTGCTGCTGATTCGACTTTTTTAATCTGGTCTTTAGTTTCAGTAAAATAGTATCTTCCATGAAAAAAATGGCAGGGCTAAAACATTCACTTAAATGAAGGGGGTTATGGCAGTAATGACTTTCATATAAACAATCAGAGTCTAGAATTAATGTGTAATATAAAGGACAATTTTTTACATGTAATATTCAGTAATCTGCCTTGTTCCCAATAAACTGAGGTATTACAACTGATAATGTGTGATCTCGCTAAAATATTTTTCCCTTACTATATGTTGTCATGCATATAATTTAGTTCATGAAACGTTCATTATCAAGTCTGTTTCTGCCTTCTCATTTTCTTAAATTGTTGGTTTCTATACGTTAATGACTCATTCTGTATCTTACAGACTAAAGAACATAAAAATTTTAATGCTAATGAAGTTTCTCAGCAACGTTAAAACAAGCATAATTCTCATATACAGATTTTTAGTTCTGAACACCCAGAAAAAATATGGTTTAGGCCATTTATTTTAATTATAAGAGTCACGTTTGCTGTTCCTTTCTTTAAAAGTATCTGTCACTTTGTTTCTTTTTTATTTAATAGCTTTTCCGAATCAATGAAGCAAATCAGCTCATGCAGTACGACCAGTGTTTGACGAAAGGGCATGATGGATCGAAGATTATGATTACACACTGTAATCTAAATGAATTCAAAGAGTGGCAGTACTTGAAGGTATTATGCATTTAAACTCCTAAAATAATATTAGATGCTGTTTCGTTGTTGATGACACCTAGTGCATGGGGTTTACATGAGCTCATCTTTGAATCTGCGTCCACGTTGGTTGGCATTGCCACTCATGGCGTCGCTGGAGATTTTCCAGGCACTGAGCAAATCACGCTTCCTGTCACAGTGATGTCTGTGAAGACCCGTGGCTGAGTAGAGGTGGCACAAGGAAACCAGTATTCCATGAGGCAATGGTCACTATCATTCTAGAGTCACAACCCATGGATTTTTAAACCTGAAACATTCGTTCAACATGTATAGTCTAAAAATGTCATTCATGTCTCAGGATTTCCAGTAGGTGGCGATAGAGGCAAACAGAACTTGAAAGCCCAGGCCTGGGTAACTTCCTTCAAAACACATTCAGTTAAATGCAGCTTGTTGCTTAGAGTCAGATTCATTCAGGTAACACTGCTAGAAGAGCTTTTGTGTCTTGGCTGTTCAGTATTTAAAGCTCTGTGGCAATACTTAGAGATTTCAGCACACTAATGGCTTTATCTTTAGATTTCACATCAGCTTATAAAAGATTAGGAAAGCTGCCTGATACTGAAAGAGCTCAGAACCGCTCACTTTGTGTAGTTGTTGATACCACACCCATCCATCCTGAGAGCATGTGTGTGCTTTGCAGTAATGATGCTGTCACCCAGCTTAGTGCTCCCAGTCGGCGGCATGCATGCACAGTTACCGTCGGTGGTAAGCAGGTGTCAGCTGCTGATTTTTTTTTTTTCCTTCCAACAACTTAGGAAAGAGAAGACTAGCATAAACATTGAAAAACAGCACTTATATTTACAAAGAAAAATGAGTAATAGTAATAATTGGTTGGCGTCAGTGAGAACAATATTAAGGTGTGACTACTAAAAGCTAAACTTCAAAAAAATCATGAATTATAGATTTTTTAACTTGTAGATTTTTTTAAGCACATTATCTTAGACTCAGCACTGAACATACATTTGTGCATCAGGCTTGAGTACATATCCACTGGGGCTCAATGCTGTGGAGGCCCAGATGGCAGTTAAAATTGAGTACACCACACTGTGGCAGAGAAGAAATGTAGAAATGAAAATGAAAAAAATGCCATTGGGCAGCAAAAGAAGGATCCAGTGGAGGAGCTGTTTCTGATGAGTTTCACAGCCCCAAGTCCTGGGACAGAAAGGCTGTGGGGGTGAGGCTGTGCCGTGGGGGTGGCGCACAGCAGGCTCCCGTGGAAGACGCGGGAGACTGTGTGAGCCAAGTCACGGCGCGGAACCGTGTAGAAAAGCAAAAACATAATCAGCGTGCTAGCTCTGACTGTGTGCTCCATAGAACGGCCCCTTGAGCACTTCATCCGGGTAAGTTTTAGAGACCCTCTGAGGCACGTCGTGGTGGGGTGGGCGTCAATACTTGCTGGAAAATGGGGAAATTGTGACGCGTGGCCTGACGGCGCAGGATGAGCTTACCGGGTCCTCAAGCTTCCTGGACTTGGATTCCACTTATACTCTTCAAACAGCTGAAACCACCTGCGCACAGCTCTCGTGTGTGTTATTGCTAACAATATTTCCAAAAATCAGAAATCACGTCTGAAAAATGTATAAAGTGCTTATGTATTCATGTAAAAATATCAATAATCCTATTACATGTTAACATACAGAACATTTTAATGAAAACTACGTTTCCGCAAAAAAAGTGAAAATAATAATACCACTCAATATTTTTGAAAATAACATTAATATCTGATTTCTAGAAGACAGCTAGGTTTCAGACTGCTGCATTCAGTCCGCTTCTATATATGCACAGTATTTATGCACCAATGTTGACACGCTTCATTATACAATATACAATATTCAAAAAATACAACCATTGGTTTCATCAAAAAGTCTTTAAATATTATGAAACTCAAGTTTTTGTGATTGTAAGTTTTCCAAAAATGTGATTTTTCTTTTCTCGAAAAGTCCTACGGTGTCTAATGGCAAAAAATACTGTCCAGTTTTTTTGTTGTTGTTGTTGAAGTGACAAACTCAACTTATTTTTGAGAAAATGTTTAGCAGTAACTATAGTTGGTCTGTCAGTTCTTTCAAGGGATAAAAAAAGGGGGAGGGTATTCTCCAAAAAACATCAGCTGGTTCATTGAAACAACATGGAAATCTAACAACCAGAAGAAATGCGTTATTTCACACGCGGTTGCTAAGACTTGGTCTCCTTAGGAAAGCCAGGCAGCGACTTGTAACGCGAGTGACACGAGACGCAGCTGCCTGTCCTCTCTGTTTTGCAGAACCTGCACAGATTCACCCACATTCCTTCAGGGAAGTGCTTAGATCGCTCCGAGGTCCTGCATCAAGTGTTCATCTCCAACTGTGACAGCGAGAAAGCAACGCAGAGATGGGAAATGAATAACATCCATACTGTCTAGAAAGCATCCAAGAAGCCAGTAATCTACCTGCTGACGAGTAAACTGATACAGGACTGAAACCGCCTGAGAGCTGCTGCAACCATTCCGGTTAACTCTGTACAGTCCGAACCCAGAACCTCCCGGTCAGTTTGAAGGACGTGGATAAACTGTGATCTTAAGATGACATTACCATCCGCAGTTACTGTTTACAAAACTGCTCTTACCTTAAACTTCGTAGATGTTTACATCTTTTGTTGTTGTCGTTGTTGTTGTGTTTTAAGATGATGTTGGTAATTTGTGCCTTTAGCTCTGTTTTTGTAGAACAGAGTTAAAAGCATTTGTCTTCTTTGGGACTACACTCAGGGGTCTGAAAGGCAGTTTGATTTTTTTGTTTGTTTGTTTCTTTAACACACTTGAAAATAAAAAGGTTGGAGTAATCAGACTTTCATATATATATATATATCTCTTGGTGATTATCGACCTGTTGTCTTTATTTAATTTTACATCTGTTAGAAGCACTACCACAGGTTTTCAGACAAGGTGGCCTTCTTTCACAGTCATGCTGCTTTTTTGAAAGGTGAATTTCAACACATTTAGTGCCTCTTTCATTTCTCAGTATATATTTCAAGAGCTTTTGATGAGACTTATAGGATAGTAATGATGGAATTGTCACTTTTCCAAGGAATACTTTGATTACTCAGCAGTGGATTTCCGTGCTGCCATTAGCTGTGAAGTTGAATGTTGTGTGGCCTGCAAAAGACAGCATGGAACACGCCAGGTCTGCCACAGGGTGTGAAGATTGTGCTGCGTTAACACCCACACCTGCTAGTGTTCCCAACACCCCCAATCCACACCAACCCCAGGACGGGAAAGGGGTCTTCCATCTGGAGAAAAATTATCCACTGGCATTTGGCTTCATTTCTCCCTGCTGTATGTCACTTTGGAAAACCATAAATCTCAATTTTGAAACTTGAGTTTAAAAAAAGAGAGAGAGAAAAAAAAAAACACTAGAGACGAGTCAAAGGTTCATTCTGAGGTTTAAAAAATCGCCAGGCCCTTTCAGATGAAGCCTTAGAAAACGCGCGTGCGTTGTAACATCTGCCGGCCGCCCTCAAAGCCGAGAGTGAACTGGTGTTTTATGTATCGTTTCATCCAAATGAAATTCCCTGTACAGTTCATTAACGAATGGCAACTCCTTTGTGTGTGAGGGGTGTTAGTTCCCTAGTGTTTCTTAATTTCCTTTTAGGAAGTATATTTTTATTAGTATTTTTTTTTCCAATAAAAAGATTTTTTTGGCATTTAAACATGTATTAAAACAGTACCAACTATAGAAGAGCCAAATACTGCAAATGGTCACTTAGATTTTAACTTCTGAACACTGTTATTTAAAAAAAAAAAATGCTTTTTTAATGCCTACATTGATTCCAAAAATGGAAATGTGATAAGGTGGGAAATGGCAAATATACGAAGCATTGTTGATCTATAATCATGATAGCATGACCATGAGAGGAATTCACAATCGACTGCCAGAGGGAAATATTTTTCATTAAAACTTTAAAAATAAATGGAAAAAACAACCCTTGCTTTAAAAAACAAAGAACCTATGAGTTTTTCTTCCAAGCTTAGTTCTTAAATTGGAACTCAAAGTTAAACATCCTAAACAGTTTATGATTTTGAATTGTCAGTTCTTATTTTGCTTTTGCTACTAATGTGTGATCGATCATTTTAACTTTCACTCATCTCTAGAAGCATTTGGAAAGGGAAACATTTATACGCTTATATAATTGTAAAATAAATCAACTTTTAATAAAACTAAGATTTGGTACTTAAATTACTTGGGTGTTTGCAAATAGGCTCCATTTTCCATGTTGAGTAAATTTGAACCTGTTAACTATGCATAGTCGTAAGAAAGGTGGCACATGGAACTGTACATGTAAATTTCTGGGCAGATTAAATATTTTGTGCAATTCATTTAAAGAAGATACTCTGTGAATATGATTCTATATATTCAAATCAGAACATTACCAACATAATAAAAAAACACCAGAAGCTGCTGCCGTAAGTACTATTTTCTACTATAGGCTACTTTGGAAATAATTTCCATATCCTTGCTTTGTAAGTTGATAATATCACTATGCATTTCTACACATTTTATAAATTTGATTTATGCAGATTTTGATACACTGTATGTTTCTGTAGAAATTGTATAAATATTCAGAATTTTATTAGGATAAATTTGAGAAGCTATGTTTATCTTAATTCTGGGTTGCTTGTTTTTTAGGTAAAAAAATAAATAAAATAACATGTTGTATTTTAATCCATGTATTTGTAATCATTTCTAAATCTGAACAGTACACATTGGAAATAATGGCCTGATTTTGTTTACAAAATATACATAATAGCCTTAAGTATTTAAGCCACCATTATTGAGTATGTGTTCTTAACTGTTGGTCAGAATTCTGCTGCTTATGGTTACAAGACACCGAGCTTGCCTCACTGTAGGAAGGAAACACGAAGGTTTCCCTTTACAGAACTTCTGGTTACCTAGAGCACATTTTTAAGTAACCTCTCCGATTATAAAATATGATCCCAGCAATATATCATCTTTATTGGCAGTGTATTCTACTGTGTAAGTTTTTTGATTTTTGAAAGCAAGAAAAAGTCTTCAAATCAAAATTTTCACAACCTGAGTGATCAAGTAGAAACAAAGAAAAAAATCCGGACATGAAACTTAGAAATGGTCTGTAGGGGCCTGTGATGCCAAACATGGCATGTCAGGATGTCAGCACCGCTCGCTGCTGATGCAGGTGAGCAGGTGGCCGTGATGGATGGAGAACACGGTCTCTCAGCTGGAGTATCTGCTGTGTTTGTGCTGTTAGTTGCCGAAGAGATAGCTAGGAAGTGACAAAGCTCTCGGAGCTCACTCATTCCTTTGGTATCTCCCACAAGGATCTTGGGATATGTTTTGTTTCAGTACAGAATATAACTTAATGAAAAATTAACACAGTTCATTGGGAAATGTGGTTGGTAATTGCCCAGGCCCGGTCACCTGGTGGGTTGGTAGTTCAGATCTGTGAGAGCACTTTAAAAGCAGTGGGGACCACAAGCATGTCATCACTCACCAGAATCAAGCATGTAAAAGAAAATGGACTAAAGTTAACAGAATGGTTTTGGGGGACCACCATCCCTGGAATTAGAGATAAGGGAAGGGCTTTATCTGAAGTAGATTCAGTAATGACTGCAGTCTGATTTTTATAATTTTGAAATGTCCATATTTGAGGTGAATGGATTTTAACAGTCTGAATGAATTGCACCTGGAGCCTGCTCTAAGTCATGGGATAGAAGGTCCCTTAATTTTCATAATAAAAATATGTTAAAATCTGCTCATCTAAAAGAAAATAGTATATTATGGTAGATTCTGAAGTCCATCTTAAACACTGTACCCCTACAAATTAAGTCATATGACTTCAAATTTTTAATCTATACCTATTAGTTTTTAGCCTGTAAGACAGGAGATGTAAGAGTGCCCATTTGCTGGGATTGTTACTGGGATGAGTTAGCTTATCGCAGGGTCCTTAGAATAGTTCCTGGTGCACAATCAAGGTAAGATAAATGTTGCCTAGCATTATCTCCTTTCAAAGTCCTAAAACGTGTCTTTAATCAGAATAACCCCGCTATACTAAAGACTGCAAAAGCCATGAGTTTCTATGCGTTTTGTATATCATTACCACTACTCCACAAGTGAAAAATGAAGCTCCAGAGTTAATCTGCAGCGAAAGCTACTCTAAGGAGAAAAGTTGTTTTCTACCATAGTATGTGTAAAATAGTCTTCAGTGGCCTGCTTCAATCCCTGGCTACAAAGAACCGCATCATGAAGATTGTCTAAGATAAGGTTATCTTTTAAATGGTCTTTAAATGAAATTTCACTTAGGCTCTTGAGCAAATCCCAGCTGTAATAGGATTAAATGTTCAAAACAAACTTAGTAGACAATTGCTATGATACAATAATTGGCATTGGATTTATACTGCTACCCTCAGCAGATGTAGAGCTGGGCAAAATGTATGAGGCAACAGGAAATTCATGGATAAAAGGCCAACCATGCTGACATCTTAAAGAAAACACGTGTGGGATCTGGCCACTTTACCAGTGTCTGGGAGAATTTGTCCTCTGCGGCATGATAAATGAAGATTGGAAGCAGAGGAGATAAAGAGGGGGTGTGGGGTTGCTGAGCCCCCGGAATTTACAAGGCAGATGACCAGAGGGGTGTGCACTTGACTACTAGAAAACCTGTGCAGAAATTCTCATAGCAGAGACATTCACAATAGCCAAAAACCCTAGCAACAACCAATATACCCATCCACAGAATGAATGAATTGTGATATAATCCCATAATGGAATGTTGCACAGTGATGAACATGAATGAGCCTCTTACAGACAGATCGTAGTAACATACTATTACGTGAAAAAGGACAATTCCCAGAAGACATCAATAAACTTTTCATAAATATCTAAAGTGATTAAAATTAAACACACACTTTGAGACATGATCATTGAATGACTTATCTAAGTTCACTCATTTAGTATTGGGGTCAGGACAACCAACCTCTGTACTCAATATCCCCAGGACTGTGGGAGGAATTTGGAGCTAGGGAAAGCTGTTTCTCCGTGTTAACTTCATTTTTGCCCTCCGTCTCCACGGTCAAACCTCAGAACTGATCGGACACTATCATAGGATATTAACCCTTATATGCTGGGATGCTTTTATAAATATTGAGCATTTATTGTTTCTTGCCCCAAAGATAAATGTTTTAAGTGCATTATCTCCTTTAGTCCCTAAATAAGGATTCTAATTTTAGATTGCAAAAATGGAATTCTATGACCTGATGTTATAAAACTAGTAACTGATTTCCAGGTATAAGTTCCTTTCCTCCTCACTTCTTATTTTTTAATAACCTATATTTCCCTTGTATATTTTTTTGACACTTTGTTCCTTCATATAAGCCATCTCATCTCTTTTGGGAAAAAATAGAGCAAATCAGAAAAATAAATACATGTGAATGGATAATGCTGGATTGATCTCTCACTTGAGCTATAAGACCTCGTGAAAGGTGACTGCAGGATGGTGAGTGACCCCAGGTGTGTTGGCAGAGAGCTGGATGGGAGGTGAGACCGGCAGGACCGGAGCCAATGCTCACGGAGGATGCAGGCGTTGCGGCCAGTGGCCTGACCAGCCGTGTCACAATGCCAACCCCATGAGGTCCTACTTGCCTGACCGGGTTTACAGGAGTAAACTAAAGTAAGCATTAATAATCTTATATATATTTAATTTATGAAAATAGCATTTCTTGCAAATAATGGGGCGAGCACAGTAGTACAATAAACTGACCCTCCAGCTGCCGTGCCGGCGTCCCATGTGTCCAGTTTGGGTGTTTTACCCAGATGCTCCACTTCCCATCCAGCTCCTGCTTAGACCTCGGGAAACAGCAGCGGGTGGCCCAAACGCCTTGAGATCCTGCACCCGCATGGGGGCCCAAAACAAGCTCCTGGCTCCCAGTTTCAGACCAAACCAGGTCTGGCTGCAGCAGCCATTTGGCAAGAAAACCAGTGGATGGAAGATCTCTCCAACTTGCAAGTAAAATAAACACATTTTTTAAAAATGCCAAGTCAGTGACCCTTAGCACAATCTCACCTACTGACAGATTTTCTTTGCACATAAAAATTGAATTTGTTACACCAATATTTAAAATTAAAATTTTACCTTTAGAAATCCAACAGTTATTTTTCCATGCATCAAGGATTAAAGCAAGCAGTGGCAGTTTTCCTTCTCCTAGCCTTTATGTTTACGAATGTCGTAACACTGCATTTCTCACTCCCTCACCTGCCCTTCACCACACCCAGCCATTTTTCCTTTTTATCTACTGCCTCTTGGCATTTCCCATCAGTAACCAAACTTTCTCTAAAAATGACAGTTCCCAATTGGATTTAAGAACTAAAGACAGGGCCCGGCGCGATGGCGCAGTGGCTAAGGTCCTCACCTTGCACACCCGGGATCCCATATGGATGCCGGTTCTAATCCCGGCAGCTCCACTTCCCATCCAGCTCCCTGTTTGTGGCCTGGGAAAGCAGTCGAGGACAGCCCAAAGCCTTGGGACCCTGCACCCGTGTGGGAGACTCAGAAGAAGCTCCTGGCTTCGGATCGGCATAGCACCAGCCATTGTGGTCACTTGGGGAGTGAATCAGTGGACGAAGATCTTCCTCTCTGTCTCTTCTCTCTGTATATCCACCTTTCCAATAAAAAAAAAAAAAAAAAGAACTAAAGACAAAATAGCTTGTTTCTTGAAAAGTGTAAATTTGTATTTTAAAGCAAGTAGATTTTATGCAATTAGACCTCTAGCTTTCTGCAGTTCTCCAAGAAACAAGATTTTTACTACTTCATAAGATATTCTATTGGTATATAGTGCCAGAAAGTCAGGCTTAAAATAATGCTATTTGGACCCAGCGGCGTGGCCTAGCAGCTAGAGTCCTCGCCTTGAATACGTCAGGATCCCATATGGGCACCGGTCCTAATCCCGGCAGCTCCACTTCCCATCCAGCTCCCTGCTTGTGGCCTGGGAAAGCAGTCGAGGACGGCCCAAAGCCTTGGGACCCTGCACCTGCGTGTGGGAGACCCAGAGGAAGCTTCTGGCTCCTGGCTTCGGATCAGCATAGCATTGGCCGTTGTGCTCACTTGGGGAGTGAATCATCGGATGGAAGATTTTTCTCTCTATGTCTCTCCTCTGAATATCTGACTTTCCAACAAAAAATAAATAAATCTCTAAAAAAAAAATAATGCTATAATTGTAGTAAGAAAAGCTTTGATTCACTACTAGTAAATGCTGTTAAAAGACAAAAGCTTACAGGCCAGCACAGTAGCCTAGTGGTTAAAGTCCTCGTCCAACACACAGCAGGATCCCATATGGGCAGCTGGTTCGTATCCCTCCAGCTCCACTCCCCATCCAGCTCCCTGCTCGTGGCCTCGGAAGGCAGTCAAGGACGGCCCAAAGACATGGGACCCTGCACCCACATGGGAGACCCAGAAGAGGCTCCTGGCTCCTGGCTTCGAATCAGCTCAGCTCCGGCCATTGTGGCCACTTGAGTGACCAGCAGATGGAAGAGCTGTCTCTTCTCTCTGTAAACATCTTTTTAATAAAAATAAATATTTAAAGAAAAAAATAGAGAGAAGCTTATTTCCCAAAAAAAGTGCCATCTACTGACCAAGTTTCCAGTGCTTTCATAATTAATCGACCTCAGGATTTTTCTGTCCGAACCCTACCTTTTATAAACTGAAAGACCAAAAAGTAGTGACATAATGCTTGAGAAAAGCTCTTGCCACCATTCTTGCACAAAAATTAATTCCAGAGCATTAAAGGCTTTAAAAACATCTTTAAAAGAAGCTAAAGGACAAATTGTTCTCACAACTTTTAGAGTGGAAAAAGTATCCGAGGGCAAGTGTTGGCACGACAAGCCAGGCCACTGCTGGGGACATCTGCATCGCACACTGAAGTGCCTGCTTGGGCTTCCTGCTAATGCAATGGGAAGGCAGCAGGTGACGGAGCAGAACAGCAGCAGATACCAGCCCAGGCACATGGGCCGCTGTCCGCGAGTGAGACCCGGAGTTCCAGCTGCCTGGATCCAGCCTGGCCCAGTCTTTGTAACAGCCAGGTGGAAGAACAAGCTCTCTGTTGCTCTTACAAGAAAAAAAACTCAAAGCTATTAAATTGATAAGTTTAAAAAAAATATCTACTATTCCCGAATGCCAGCAACAGCCAGGGCTGAGCTGGAGCCAGGAGCTTCTTCCAGGTCTCTCACATGAGTGCAGGGGCCCAAGCACTTAGGCCATGCTCCACTGTTTCTCCAGGTACATTAGCAGGGAGCTGAATTGGAAGTGAAATAGTAGATACAAGCCAGTACCCACATGGGATGCCAACACTGCAGGCTGAGTGTTAGCCCACTATACCACAACACAGGCTCCAAGAATAAATTTAATTTATATTAAAAAGAGGAACTGTTGCATGACAAGAGTATAAAATAAAAAACATCAGTTATTTTCCTTAATGTATACAGTTCCCACAACTATTCATAAAGACCATAGGAAAGAACACTCAGTCTTTCAAACATATAAAAATTAGGGGCCAGTGCCAAGATGAGACAAGTTAATCCTCTGCCCTGCAACACAGGTATCCCATCAGGGCGCCAGTTCACGTCCTAACTGTTCCACTTCCAGGCCAATTCCCTGCTTATCGCCCAGAGCAGCGGGACCCTGCACTCACAGAAGACCCAGAGGAAGCTTCCGACTCCTGGCTTCAGACCAGCTCAGCTCCAGCCATTCTGGCCATTTAGAGCATGAACCAATAGATTAAAGCTCTCTGTCTGGCTCTTTTTCTGTGTAAGTCTGCCTTCCAAATAAAAATCTCTTTTAAAAAATTAAAACTCATGAGAAATCTTTTTTTTTTAAGTAAGTTAACATCAAAACATTCAAGGAAAATAGAATTGGAAGTTTGTTTTGGTTTAAGTTTTGAAATCCGTGCATTTCATACTTCACACTTCCCAAAAACTGTGAAAACCTTACATGCATAATTCCATTTTTACATGAATAAAGTATTGTTTTATCAGAATAACAACGACCAAGAAGTTTGAGCAGTATCGCACCGTGTGCTGACATGTCACAGCACTGGTTACGTATCTCGCTGCAGCTTCCCCTGAACCATTTCAGCAGACTTCAGGAAGTTAACGAAGCCTCCTACGTATTTATCGATGACAGTTCCTATAAATCAGCAAATCTTTAGATCTCTGTGTGCCTTTTAACCTATCCTCTACTCAGCAGACCTTTTTTCACACATGAAACTGCAGGAAAAGATAATCACATTAACTGTCTTTAAACCAAAAAAACAAATAGAATTATCCTTAGGGAGCTGGTTAAATTACAAGCTTTTCAACACGAATGCTGAAAAGCTTTTAAGAGAATGTTAGCTTTCTACTAAGAATTATATATATGGATTCTACTTGTAAACTCCACCTAGATAGATGCGTGACTATGCTCACATCTATTTTGAGGGTTATCTCCTGCACGGTCACCAGGAATCAAGAAACCACCCATTAAGTATTTTACATTTTGTACACTTAGTTTTTAAAAACTTTAAAAAAGCTTCTGTAAACTTTCCAAGTAATGAGTTCTTGAATGCTCATTTCAGTGCTTTCCAATCAAGCCACTGACATGACTTAGGCATGTTTTAAATGTTCAGAAACATTTTGAGCCACTTACAGAATTAGCATACGTGAGCCAGGCACATCTCAAATTGTGAGGTTACTTTTCTAAAGCAGCTCTACTAAAGCAGTGTTATTCTCAGCTTAGAAACTTAAAATCTCTTAGAGAACAGAATGAAAATCAGAGGTCTCAAAAACAAAGGACCAAGAACCTGGTGAGTCTGTCCCATGAGTCTCACAATTCCTAACTAGACCATTACTTTACATTTCAATTTTAGCTGCAGCTTAACATTTGATGCACTAGGAACCGTTTTAACATTTTCATTTAATCACTCGCGTCGTGAAGCAGGTTTTGACCCTGTCAGGATGGACCAAAGGCAAGGTTCATACCACCAGCAGCTGGCAGCCAGGTGACTAATGGCAACCCAATCCTACTGTCTTCATTACCCCAAATACTTATCACCTAACACCACAAAAACACTGCAAATCAGTTTTCACTTTATGACCAGTGAAAAACTCATGGCTGGATGCTTATGCCATCAGAACATAAATGCTAAACAGCATCAAAAAGATGTTTGAAAACTGGTGCCATGGCTTAACAGGCTAAGCTATTTAGGGCACCAGTTTATGTACTGGCTGCTCCACTTCAGATCCACCTCCCTGCTGATGCACCTGGGAAAGCACCGTCAGCCCTGACAGCCATGTGCATAGTTACCAAAAGATACTAAACCTCTGTCCCTATGTAACTCTTTAAATAAATCTTATCTAAAAAGAGAATAAAATGAGCTAATTGGTTTTGCTATTTCTGCTAATGTCCTACTTCCTTTAGCAAAACTTTTGACTAGTACTTCCTGTTTTAAATAACCCTTACAAACGATTTGTTCCAAATATGGCATGAGCTACTGAAGCCTCTCACAGTTGCCTAGTAAGAACTGTTTTGAAAAAAACTTGACGGGGAACCAATATTGTCAAGCTTAACTATAAAACTGCCAGCATACAAAATCACAAACAGTAAGCCAACAGATTGAGTTCTAATTACTTAAAACAGTTAATAGAAGAAACTACTTCTTCAAACAACAAAAAAAAGTTAACTGCCTTCCTCTCTAATAACCACAAATTCCAGTTTAAGTTTAAATTAGTATTACAACCTCCCCAAGTTTCCTTAGGTCAGTATCCCACAGTTCTAAAGCTTAAAACCATATTGATTTTAAAAATAACTCCAAAATCTGTTAGTACTCTACACCTTTAAAATCTAATCTTGCTACTAATGATTCTCCCGAACCAATTGTGTCTAAGAACTACTAAAATACAAAAGTTCCCATGGTTCTGGTGTATACTTTAACACAGAAAGACAAAGACCAAAGTCATAACATACATAATTTTATTACAAAAATTTCTTAAAAAAAAAAAAACCAGAATGCAACATCCTAAAAAAAATTTTTTTCTATTAATACTAATTCCTACAAGTTTGCTGTGCTACCATACACAAGAAATTAAAGAAACCATTAAATATTTAGGAACATTCAACATCAGAAGCTTTAAAATTCTAACTATGTAGTAGCCCCTCAAAAAGCTACAACCTGCATTAAGAAAAAAAAAAAGTATTTTCTCTACAAAGAATCTTATCAGCTATACAAAAATCTGTACAGTTTTTATACTGAAGCTAATATTGAGCTGCACTTGAATTCACATTCTTAGCAAAACAATTGCCTGAGCACACACGCACATTCCACACACATCATTACAAGATAGCCATTTATTCTTCATCTTCATCCTCTTCCTCCTCATCTTCATCTTCTTCCTCCTCCTCTTCTTCCTCCTCATCCTCTGGTTCACTCTTCTTCTTGGAGCCGGTAGGCCTACCAGGACCCTTCTTTCCTGCTTCACTTTTGCCCTTGGCACGGTATGCAGCAATATCCTGAAATAGTCAAAAATAAATAAAATCAGCATCCGGTGTCATTACTCAACTGTGAAAACCACTTATTTGTAAACACCCTGCGATTATTGACCAATAACTCCGGTAACGATAAAAGTATTCACAGCCTGAACCAGTTTGAAGACACTCCTTACAGACTCTGGAATGTTACTAATGAGGTAAAGTGAAGGGGGCTGTGTTAAATCACTGTCAGTATTTTTGCTATCATTGCAGAAGTCCCCTGTCCCAATTATATATAGGTGGGCCTTTTAAATTTAAATTCCCATTTAAATGTATGTAAAAAAATGAGTTTTCCTGAAAGACTAGGAAACTAGTGCCACAAACACAGAATTCAGTGGAGAAAAATTTCAGTCAAGAAAGTTTCCATTAGTTACTCAATCTTACCATTTTCACTAAATCTTTTCAAAGTGTAGAGGACAACCATTTTTAAGATCACCTAAATTTCTCCAAATTTTACAATTTACTTCTATTCCTAACAACCACTACAAAATACCTAATTTTAACAAAGGCTTTTAAAATGCACGGAATGCAACATACCTTTTCATACTTCTCCTTTAGCTTAGCTGCTTTCTGCTCGTAGGGCTGTTTATCTTTGGCTGACTGTTCAGACCACATCTCACCCAATTTTTTTGCAGTATCCCCAATGGACAGCCCGGGGTGTTCGCTTTTGATCTTTGGACGATGTTCAGAGCAAAACAGGAAGAAGGCAGATCTGAAAGGAAGTAACCGAGTTCATAAAGCGAAGGCACAATCCCGAGGGCAGGGGAGTCGTTGCAAGCCAACTTACGGTGGTCTCTTGGGAGCGTTGGGATCTTTTTTCTTCCCCTTCTTGTCGCCTTTGGGGGGGACGTAATTTTTCATCTCCCGGTCATAGCGCGCTTTATCGCTTTTGGCCATGTCTTCGAACTTGGACTTCTCCTTGGCAGACATGGTCTACGGGCAACAAGCGAGCGGGGAGGACGCGACAGGACGCTGAGCTCTGACCCGGTGGCTGCAGCAGCTAAAGCCTAGCAGTCCGCCTAAAGCCCCACGCGCGGATCGGCGGGAGTCGGCAGCCCGGGCCGACCGGAAGCCTCCCAGCTCCCCGGGCGCTCCCCCAGCCGCACCCCTCACCTTCCATCTCTCCGAGCATTTCTTCGAGAACTCGGCGAAATTGACCGAGGAGTCCGGATGCTTCTTCTTGTGCTCCTCCCGGCACGTCTGCACGAAGAAGGCGTAGGAGGACATCTTGCCCCTCGGCTTGTTGGGGTCTCCTTTACCCATGACGACGGAACGGCGGCCACCTGGGGGGCACGGGGCCGGAGGGTCGGCGCGCCGCCCGCCCGCCCGCGCAAAGCCGCTTCCCGCGCAAAGCCGCGCCCGCCCCGCGCCCGTCCCAGCCCGCCCCGCGCCCCGCGCCGCCCCGAGCCCGCACCCCGAGCCCGCACCCCGAGCCCGCCCGCACAGGCCCGCCCTGACACCTGTGTCCCCCGGCTTTCACGTCGCGAGTCCCAGTCGCCCGTCCCCTCGCGACTGGCCCCGGGCCGGCCGCCGTGCCCGCCCGCGCTCCACAGCCCCAAGCCCCCTCTCACCGCCCGCGACCCAAATTCTCTCTCGTCACGGGGTCGAACCCGGAGAACCACCACACCCAGGCCGAGGGAAGGGCTCCCGACGCTAGAAAGGCCGCCACACGCCGCGAGGCCGGAGGGAAGCCTTGCCTGCTGCGAGTTTTCCCTCACGAGTCCCGCGGAGCGACGCTTCCCGCCCCGAGCTCCGGCGTGAACTGGTTTCTCGCCAACGCAATCCCCAGCCTCTTGTTTTGCAGACTTGTCCGCGCCACGGCAACTTGACGAGCCCGGCCACAGGCCACACCTCCTCCTCTCTGATTGGCTCCGACCATTATTCAAACTCACGGAGTCCCCGCCCCCTCGCCACGGCGGCTTCCGAATGGCCAGTGTCTCGTCAGGCCCGCCCCCCAAGTCTCAGCCTAGCAGGTTCGGTGGGTCGTTCAGGTCGTTAACTCCCAGACCCGTTAGAACCGGTCTGAGGAGGAATGTACTGCTCGGCCCTGATTGGCGGCGGGGAGAGGGTTTGAAAAATGGCGGGCCCGACGCTGACTGGCTAAGACCGCCAACTGGGGGAGTGGTTGGCCCGAAAGGGAAAGCACCGCCAGATTTAAAAAAATATGAAGTCTGGAACTGGCGAGGCGGGAGGTGGGGCTCAGCTGGCCGGAGCTGAGGTAGCCGGAGCTGAGGTAGCCGGGGCTGAGGTAGCCGGGGCTGAGGTAGCCGGAGCTGAGGTAGCCGGAGCTGAGGTAGCCGGAGCTGAGGTAGCCGGGGCTGAGGTAGCCGGAGCGGCCCGCCCTGCCTCTCCGACTACCGTTCTAGTTCGGTTCCGCGCCCCGCTGCGCCGCCTCACGGGAGAGCTGTCGCCGCTCGGCGCTGAGCCCCCCGGGGTCTCCCCTAAGCCGGGGAAGCGATGAAAGCGGGGGCGACCGAGGCGTTTACTCTGCGGGCGCCGCGGAGGCGAGGGGAGAACCCGGGGGAGACAAGGCGGGGAGCCGCCGACGCGGCGGGGCGCGGGAGGGCAGCTCCTCCCCGCTCTCGGGGGCGTCAGGAAACGGTCGGAACGTGAGGCGCTTCCCGCCGCCCGAGGCTTCCCGGAGAAGCCCCTCCTTCCTCTCCCTCTTTGTCTCGGTGCTGAAGCCAACAGGGGTGCGCCGGGGTGGAGGAGCGGGGGGCTGCGAGCGGCCGGTCAGGGGGTCCCCCGCCGGCCCAGGACCGAACGCCGCCCGGGCCGAGCCAGCCCCGCGGGGCCCCGGGTTACCTCCACGCTCACTGCCTCGGCCAAATAGTGTGATCGTGTTTACAATCCAGGGGCTCCTTCAAAGCGATGGCTGCTCCCCTCGCTGCCCAGGGTCCTTCTGGAAACCCCGCTGCTTAGGGCCACAGCTCGCAGCCCGGGTTGGGCGGCTCCGTGTTAGTGTCCGCTGAGAGCGCACCCAGCCACCTTGCCTTGCCGCTGCGTGGCCCAAGCTAGAAAAACTTTGCGGCTTCGTGTGCTCGTCAGTGTTTTAGTTTTGAGGGCTCCCACACCTCACTACCGACGGTTCCAATTGTTGCCCTGCCGCTTTCAACACATTTTAAACTCTGGCTTTTTTCGGTAAACTCACTGACTTTATTCTTAATGTATGGTAACCCTATTCCCTAGTACTTCCGAACCAGCAACTGGATGGGTTTACTAACCGTTCCCCAAGATTGTGAGTGTATTTATTGCCAGGGGATTATACACTTAAAGGTGTTTAAAATGTCAGCTTTGAGACCACAGGGAAAAAAAAGTTAAAGTATTTATATAGTGGCAGTTTTTCAAAAAGGGAAAAAAATGTGTTTTCTTATATTTAAGGGTCCCAGAATTTTGTTACTTTCACTCTTTGGTTTCTAACATTCTGTGTCTGTTGGATGTTTCTGTAATTAGAAAATTACAATTGTGAGTGTACTATCAAGGCCCACAAAAATCCAAATAAAAAATAAACGTGATTCAAATAGCAATAAACAATGAAATCACTACATTACATATTTGAAATTTTAAAATACTATGCAAGAGAAAACACCCGTTGCAAAAATGGAAGCATATGTAAATATCGGACATTCATCATGAGCTGCTTGTTCAGTATGCCAAGCACTGAGTTTAGCAGCAGAAATGTAAAAATGAAAAGTCATGACCTTTGCCCTAGGACGAGTTGGTGTTCAAAAGACAAAAATATAAAACAGTACAACGTAGTAATCATAAAACTGGCTCGCTAACGGGAGCATGAAACAACCCCCAACCCTGGAGGATGCAGGGCAAGCCATTCATGAAAGCGGCAACGAGGCCGAAGTGGAATGAACGATGTTAAGCAGACATGGGGGGGAGAGAAGAAATGCAAAGCTGAAAGGCATGTATGAGAGCCTGGCTTGTTTGACAAGAAACTCAAAGTTCAAAATTACAAGAGCTTAATTAAGCTAAAGATAAGAATGACCTGGACTAGCAGTCTGTGAAGAAATTCAGTCTGTATCCTGTAGGAATAGGAACCACTGAAAATGTAGAAGAGAAATAGATTTCTATGAAAGATGGAGTGCCCGTGGCATGACACAAATGAGGTCACCATCACTGGCCCAGCCTGGGCTGCTGATGTCATTTGGGCAGTGAAACAGCGAATGAAAGACTATCTCTTTTTCCCTCTCTGTAACTCTGCATTTCCAATAAAATAAATCATTAAAAATATATGTATACCCTATATCCATTCTTTTGTTTAAAAGTTGTAGCAAGGGGCCCAGCGTGGTAGCCTAGCAGCTAAAGTCCTCACCTTACACTGCTGTGATCCCATATGGGCGCTGTTTCTAATCCTGGGAGCCCCTCTTCCCATCTAGCTTCCTGCTTGTGGCCTGGGAAAGCAGTCGAGGACAGCCCAAAGCCTTGGGACGCTGCACCCGCATGGGGGACCCAGAAGAGGCTCCAGGCTCCTGGCATCAGATTGGCTTACCCCCAGCTGTCGCAGTCACTTGGGGAGTGAATCAGTGGACGAAGATCTTCCTCTCTGTCGCTCTTCCCCTCTGTATATCTACCTTTCCAATAAGAATAAATCTTTTAAATAAAAAAAAAAGGTAGTTTACATGCATGGACTACTTTTAAAAAAAAGTTGTCACTAGAGGACCCAGTACAATAGCCTAGTGACTAAATCCTTACCTTGCATGTGTCAGGCATCCCATAAGGGCACCAGTTCGTGTTCCAGATGTTCCACTTCCCATCCAGCTCCCTGCTAGGGGCCTGGGAAAACAGTGGATGATAGTCCAAGGCCTTGGGACCCTGCACCTGAATGGGAGACCTGGAGAAAGCTCCTGGCTCCTGGCTTCAGGTGAGTTCAGTTCCATACTCTGCAGCCACTTGGGGAGTGAACCAGCGGACTGAGGATATTTCTGTCTCTCCTCTCTGTAAATCTGACTCTCCAACAAAAATAAATTTAAACTTAAAAATGAGTTTGCTAAAGTTAATTTAAATTTAAAAATGAGTTTGGCCAGATAATGTCAATATATCACCTCTTTTGTTAATCTTGGCCTGAGTTCTACATCTAATAAGACATGTATTTAACAATAGTAAAAAGGAATGATTTTATTTTCTAAAGTTATCCCTATACTATACTTAGGAAATCTGTGGAAGTATCAGCCTCACAGGATTACACAGAAATCATGAATGTTATGCTACTTATTGAAGCCCCAGTCATTTACTCAGTTTTTCTAAGAATTTAGACCTTTTATAATCTGTATTCATGAAGCCAGACTGAAAAATACTGAATCAAAGAGATTATCAGTTACATTTTTTTTTGCAAACCTTCCCCTGCAAAGCAATGAAATCAATTTTATACAGTTCATAGAAAATAGAATTAAAGATAAGATTATTTTGACGCAAAAAATCTTTTGAAATCCATCCAAACAGGGACAGGTCTTATCATGGAAAATGCATACCGTGAATAAAACTGGGGTGGGTAAGCATCTAGGCCAGTTGTGGAAATTCTCACGTACCACACCAAAGTGCTCTGCTAGACGCCTGGCGTGGCTCTTCACCTTAGCTACCTGCTAATTCAACAAAGGCCCCAGTGCCTGGGCTCCTGGCTTCCATCTATGATGGCACTGGCCTGGCCCAACCGTGGGAACATTTGGGGGATGGGCCAGGATATGGAACCTCTGGGTATGTGTGTCACTGTTTCTTTATCCCTCAATTTAAAAAAATTATATATATATATATAAAATATACATATGTAATTTGAAATTCAGAGCTACACAGAGAGAGGAACAGAGATCTTCCTACCATTGGTTCACACAAGACCGCAAAGCCTAGGGCTGGGCCCAGCCAAAGCCAGCAGCCAGAAGCTAGGAGCTCCTTCCAGATCCTTCCCATGTGGATGTAAAGGCCCAAATACTTGGCTTATCCTCTGCTGATTTTTCAGGCGCATTAAGAGGGAACTAGGTCAGAAGTGGACCCATAGGAGTTTCAAATGGCCCCTACGGGATGCCAGCACTGCAGCGGCTTCACTTGCGCCATCACAGCACGAGCCCCTTTAGTTATCTACTGATTTCAATGTTTTGCACCAAATCAGACTTCTTTTCAATTTCAGTTTTCCATTAACTTTTCAAAGTACCTTTGTAAATTCTTAATAATCGTTACTAATTAATTCATTGATTCATGTTAGCCATGTTAAATTACATATTCTATAAAATAATAAAATGACTATTGGAGGATTATCTTTAGTTCATTAAAAAATTGCTCTTCAGTTTCGCCAAGCTAAATCTTGACCAGAGTTTCACACGCTCAAGTTACTTTAAAGGCGGTGAGGGGAGAGACACACCCAGTGCTGTTATGGAACCTCGCGTCTGTGAGTTGGTCCTGCGCTGAGACCTACATCGACACAGTGATGTACATCAACAACCGATATTTTTGAACATCTCATAATGCAAGTTTAGAAAAAATAAAAAACCCTCATTCTGCTGCTTAATATTTTCAATGACAAACACTAGCAGCTAATTTGTTTTTCCTCTTTAAAAATGATTAATTTTTTTGTGAATTATGATAAACCCAATGTTCACCAAAAACAATTTTTCCTTTTTTTTTTAAAGATTTATTTTTATTATTTTTTTTTATTGGAAAGGCAGATATACAGTGAGGAGAGACAGAGAGGAAGATCTTCCATCCGATGATTCACTCCCCAAGTGAGTACAATCTCCAACACGGGTGCAGGGTCCCAAAGCTTTGGGCCGTCCTCCACTGCTTTCCCAGGCCACAGGCAGGGAGCTGGCTGGGAAGTGGAGCTGCTGGGATTAGAACTGGCACCCATATGTGATC